TACACTACTAGAAAAAGAATATTCTTTATTACAAAAACCATAGAATTTCTCAAAACAGCACAATATAAATATTAATGAATAATTATATTTTCATTTATAGTGTCAATGTCAATTTATAATCTATACACTTTGAGTGATTCATATTTATGATTAAAAATATTCAAACTCAAAGGTATATACTGTATAACAGTTTTTCATGCTAAATTCTCATTTTGCAATATAAACAATATTCTTTTTCTAACACTGTATATATCCATTCGCCAAATTTAGCTAGCTCAATGTGTTTAGAATTTAATATAGAATATTATGGTATATTTCTAATTTTAAGATTCCAGACCCCTTTAGCTGACATCCAGAGTCAGTGTAATCAAATTGATAATGAGTGTAAACTTGAAAATAATAGCATTAACAAGGTACATTTTGTTATAATTCTGTGCTGATGTGTTTAGATTCTGTTTGGATGACAAACACATCTCTATTATAACGTAACATTAATTAATAAATATATAAATTTGTAACAAATGGATGTATTTTTATAAAAACAGTTACAATGAAAGCGTTGATCACATGAATTGGAAATGCATTCAAGAATTGCATTCAAAATGTGCGCCAAAAGTGTTGAAGTGTTTGAGTGTTCATTGACTGCAGTGTTGGAGAGATTTGAAGGCAAACCATAAGTCGTGTCACCGTTTGGTTCACTCTTTGACAACACTTTCACTCATCGGTCACTTGAGTTGATCGGCATTGAAGGCACCGATAGATCCACTGAATAGTGACTCTTGTGGTGCTCTCGGCTCTCTAATCGCATAGCAAACCATTAGCCCATAGACTGTGAAGATGTTCGTCGAGTCGTTAGGTTTCGGCGATTTGGCCAAAATGTCGAAGAGACAGGTCTGTCACGTGTCACACACACCACCATCTATTACACTAATTGTCTTGTCTGTCACTCCATGTCCCAACCAATGGTCAGTTGTTATATCAAGTGCTCAACTTCGGAATGATTGTCTCGTCGGCGCTCATGATCTGGAAGGGACTGATGGTCGTCACCGGCAGTGAGTCACCCATTGTTGTGGTCCTCAGGTATGACACCTAACCATCCCATCGCTGATGGACTCATTGATGGTGATGTGATTGCAGTGGAAGTATGGAACCGGCTTTCCATAGGGGAGACCTACTCTTCCTCACCAACTATAAGGAGGACCCGATCAGAGTCGGCGATATTGTCGTGTTTAAAGTGGAGGGACGGGACATACCTATCGTTCATCGAGTGCTTAAACTTCACGAAAAGTAATTGAAATGAAAAA